GTTCAGCAGCTGCCACAGCTCCTGCGGGATCCTCATCTCCTTGGCCAAGGCCCACTTGGAGCTGATCTCCTCAAACTTGTGTGTGCTCGACTTGGCTTCATTCTCCAGCTTCTCCACCCTGCGGGCAGTAAGGAGCACGTGGGAAGCGGGGAGCTGGGGCAGGGCAGCAAGCGCTTCAGACGCAGTTCCGTGTCCACATTACAAAACTCCTTCCTCTTCCAAACAGAGGCACCATCCAAGGCGCTGTGGGCATGGCCCTTGGCTCAGGCTGAACAGCAGCTGCCACCTTTGCCACCCCCAAACCTGCTCCACGGGCAGTTTCTGGACACAGCACCTGGTTCCTGAGTGGGATTCCTACTGGAAAACCACCTGAGCAAGGGACAAGGGTCTTGCTACAGCCAGCCTCCCAGAAAATGTTCCTGCAGTGCCCTCCAAAGGCAGTAGGAGCCAGGACTCGGTGTTTCCTAGCTGATCTCCGAGTCCTGGGGACAGCCATTGGTGAGCGTCCAGCTCCTCTGGTGAAGCAGGACAGCTTTGCCCAGGAAGGCACACGGAGAGGATCAGGGAATAATCGAGGCTGGAAGGGCTTCGGGAAATCAGCGGCTCCTGGTCATAGCAGGATTAACTTCAATGCCAGAGCAGGTTGTGCAGGGCCTTGCCCAGGCGTGTGCTGAGTATCGCCAAGGAGGAAGCTCTCTACAACATCAGGGACCCAGCATCTGACCACTCTCACTGCGAAGACCTTAACATCCCAGTGCATTCCCATGGGATGGCTAATAACTGCCCCTGCCTCCATGACCAGAGGCCAACCTCTGGAAAGAGGCCATTTACTGAGCCACCTCGTAGCACAGGGTGGCATGTTCTCCACCACGGTGGCACCTCCAGGCTCAGGAGAGCCACTCAGCAAGCCAGAAGCAAGGGCAGCTGTGCCTGTGCTTCCCAAGCAAGGAGACCACAAGTATACGTGGTGACAAACTGGGAACCAACTGCTCCCACTCTGGAGCTGAAGATGTGATGGGTCTGGAGGAGACTGGTACCCAGACGGTCTGTAGAACTGCAGTGCCACCTGGGGAAGCCACCAGCCTTGACCTGCAGAGCTCTGTAAAGATCCAGCTGGGACCTGGAGGCTCTTTGTGTGCCTAAATTTTCCTTTTGAACATAAATTCGGTGTTGCCCCAACTGCTAAGCGTTCCTGGGTGACCGGGGTTAGGATGCCTGCCGAAAGCTACCCCAACACCTGCACTGCTCCTTCCCAGCAGCGCCGAGCCACCAAGCAGTCTCTTACCTCCGCAGCTTCAGCTCTGCCTCCTCTGCCCTCCTCTGCGTCTCCCTCAAGTCAGCAGCCACCTGGATATTGGTCACCATCTGCGTGCCATCGAAGAGCAGCTTGGCCAGCCTCTGTGAAGTAGGTGGGACACATCTCGCACCCGGAGACCCGAGCTCTGGAGGAAGGGACGCTGGAGCAACTCCCGCTGTGCCTGTCCAGAGTCTTGCTCCTATCCCCACGCCGAGGTGGCCATGTGGACCCATAAACCCCGTCCTCCCATGCGATGGCAGGGTTTGATGAGCACTGCGAGGGCCGCAAGGCACCCGTGGGTCCTCCCTCTCCTGGGAAGCCCTGCAGGCCATCAGCACCAAGAGGAATGTGCTCAGAGCGCCTTCTTGTTTTGCTTCCCCTGCGTGTGCGGATGGGGCTAGGGGCTTGGGTTGGGGTTTGGATGCACGGCCTCAGTCCCAGATCCTTTCAATCCATGGGCCGTTTGTCACAGGGAAATCATATCCCCAGGATCCAGCCCAGGAATCGCCCCCCACCCAGTCCTGAGGAGCTTCTGTCCCTCCTTCTTCTCACAGAAATGCTGCTGTGTGACACTAAGCACCGCAAAAAGCTCAAAGGAGGGTAAAGCCAAACGTCTGGAGGTCAGGGACCCAAGAGGACCTTCCTGTCCTATGGCCGCACCTGCCTGCTCTCCTCAATCTGCTCATGGCTCCTTCTCTGCTCTTCCTCCTCCTCAGCCACCTTCAGCTCCGCATCTTCTCCAAGGGCCTCCCTGGGCAGAAAAGGGGAAAAGAGAGAACATTTTGCACCACACCGTCTGCCTAATACTCGGAGATGGCCTTGGATCTGGGATCCCAGCCCGGACCGCGTGGTTCAGCACAGCACACTGCGCTCTCTCTTCCCCTCGGCCGTTTAGTCCCAGGCCAGGAGGTCCCCACAGATACAGAAAAGGGGCAGGAAAGGGTGGGACAGCCTCTCTGAGGGAAAAGGGGGTCCAGGCTTCCCTTTCTGGAGCTGGGAGCGCAGCCCAGGGCTGGGGGGCTCAGCCCCCGTTTGCTTCCCCGGGGCGAGGAGGGCAGCGGGCAGAGGCTGGCTGGGGACAGCCCTTGGGCGGCTGGGGGGGACCCTCGCTCGGCCATGAAGACAGCCAGCGTCTGTCTGGAGCCATTTCAGGGTGGGCACCGATCCCACGCTAATTCCTCGGGATCAGTCTAACCTAAAGGGAAGGCTCTGGGATCAGGAAGGAGAAAACAAGCCTGTTGGGGTGGGAGTGGATGTTACCGACCTAGGCACGGTTTGGTAACGGGATCCCCAGGCACCTTGTTGTGGTTTACTCTCGCTTCGGAGAGGAGATGGTGGTCACTGCCACGGTTTTCCCCAGGCTGGGGGAAGGCGGGACCCTGCCCCAGCCCCAGCTCAGAGGGGGGTGGCAGGGTGCTGCCGCTTCGTGGCCTGATCCCACCCAGCCCGGAGGGGCTTCTAGGGCTTGGGAGAGGCCCCCAGTTCAGCCCTGCTTTGGGGAACGCTGCGGCCCATTGCCAGTGAGCCCCAGCTTCGGGAACACCATGGGCCTGATCCAGGAGACCACTGGTTTTGCCCAGGGGGGCAGAGGGTCCGTGGCAGGGCGATGTCCTGGGGAAGCGGGTATTGCCACCCCGGTGCTGGGCTGGGGACAGGACAGGGATGTCCTTGGCTTTGAGCTGAGCTGGGAGGTGGTCCCTGCCCTCCAGCCATTTGGCCAGGGAGTGGGGAACATCTCCGATGGGTTCAGGACCAGAGTGGTCCCAGAGCCAAGACCCCAGGTCCCGTGAAGGCCAGGGGGTCCCTGCCCCCTGCCAGCTCCTGGGGGGTCCTGGCCCCGGTGCTGGCGTGTGGCAGGGGATGTTCTGAGCCCTGGGGAGGGTCTGTGAGCCTGCGCTGGTGCTGGGCAGGGGTCAGGACTGGGAACCTGTTTGGGGCAAAGGGACCTGGAGTTGGCACTATTTTGGGGGTGGGGGCAACAACCCCAGCACCAGTTTGGGGAAGAGGAGATCATCTGCGTCAGATGCAAGGTCCTGCACCGGGGTCGGGGCAACCCCCGGTATCAGCACAGGCTGGGGGACGGAGGGATGGAGAGCAGC